GAGTGAACAAATTGGTAAATATATAACATTATAGATAGAGTGAACAAATGGGTATATATAACATTAAAGATAGAGTGAACAAATTGGTAAATATATAACATTATAGATAGAGTGAACAAATGGGTATATAAAGCATTATAGGTAGAGTGAACAAATTGGTATATATAACATTATAGATAGAGTGAACAAATGGGTATATATAACATTATAGATAGAGTGAACAAATGGGTATATATAACATTATAGATAGAGTGAACAAATGGGTATATATATAACATTATAGATAGAGTGAACAAATGGGTATATATAACATTATAGATAGAGTGAACAAATGGGTATATATAACATTATAGATAGAGTGAACCAATGGGTAAATATATAACATTATAGATAGAGTGAACAAATGGGTATATATAACATTATATATAAAGTGAACAAATGGGTTTATATATAACATTATAGATAGAGTGAACAGATGGGTATATAAAGCATTATAGATAGAGTGAACAAATGGGTATATATAACATTATAGATAGAGTGAACAAATGGGTATATATAACATTATAGATAAAGTGAACAGATGGGTATATAAAGCATTATAGATAGAGTGAACAGAAGGGTATATATAGCATTATAGATAAAGTGAACAAATGGGTATATATAGCATTATAGATAGAGTGAACAGATGGATATATATAGCATTATAGATAGAGTGAACAAATTGGTATATATAACATTATAGATAGAGTGAACAAATGGGTATATATAACATTATAGATAGAGTGAACAAATTGGTATATATAACATTATAGATAGAGTGAACAAATGGGTATATATAACATTATAGATAGAGTGAACAAATGGGTATATATAACATTAGTAGATAGAGTGAACAAATTGGTATATATAACATTATAGATAGAGTGAACAAATGGGTATATATAACATTAGTAGATAGAGTGAACAAATTGGTATATATAACATTATAGATAGAGTGAACAAATTGGTATATATAACATTATAGATAGAGTGAACAAATGGGTATATATAACATTATAGATAGAGTGAACAAATGGGTATATATAACATTAGTAGATAGAGTGAACAGATTATCCAATGAATGTACTATTTTTATGAATGCGACTTTAAAAGATAACCAAAACATTTCTATTTGACAAAATTCTTTTGCGATTGGCCAAATATCCTAAAGTTTACAAGTCTTACTGTTCAGAGGAGTAAAATTTAAAAACAATCAAACAATGATGCATTTTTTATACTATGCTAATAACTAAGGGTGTTGGAAATAACCACATTGACATAAATTCATACTCTCAGAAAAATCTTCTTTTGTTGAAAATATGCACGATTTCATTCTTATTTTTTATCTTTTGTACATTAACTATATATGTATTTAAGGCATGTAACACCCAATAAAATGATAAAATGATGCCTATTTTGTTGTGCAATTCATTTTAAATAAGACAGATAATATACTTTTATCATATACATAATGTTCAAAGGTCATGAACATTTGATTACTAACTGCTAACTAAAACTTGTGCCTGGGGGGAAAGTGTAGTTAAGATAAGAAGCAGAAACTGTGATTTAAATTTTTATATTTGTTCGCAAGGTTTTAACTCCGAATTAAACACATGTTTGGTCAAATCTCAGCAGCCGGACCACCTTATCGGATTATAACTAACCAGTATTTAACAATTTCTCCGCAAGTGACAGACTACTAATTCCACATGATTGCTGAATCAACCGTGGGAGACGTCATTTTATTTCTAATGACTCATTCAATAAGAATCCTTATTTAATTCATTAAATCAATACGAGATATGAGAGCATATGATAAATATTGAAGTTTTTTAATACGTTGAGGACAGACATAGAAATACATGAAGATATATACTGCTGACAATTAACTCTTACTATATTATATATTATTCTTGGTTTTACTATGCATGTTTATTGCAGACATTCGTATTTATGTAAATTCGTCGGTAAAATTTCCTATAGCAAGTTCTATGTTTATCAGGCAGCAATAAGCGCTAGAATTTCAAGGTACTTATTTAAATGAAACATATTAAAAATAATATGTTTTAAATTCATATAAACCAATATTGTCGTTGGGGTGGTTGCAGCAGAGATAAGTAAAAATTCTTGGCATATTTTTTATATATTTAATCATTATGAATATCAATATAACACAGAAATAATGCAACATATCTATATGATATTTTTATTTCAAGAAAAAAACATAACCTATAAACGATGCATCATATGTATACATTGTCCCGACTCACACTAAGAACTGAATGCAGGAGGGCGTCTACTTTAAACATATTAAACTGCGTTACTAAGCATGAGGTAATGTACAAAGGTAGTTGATAAAATGTTAAAAACGACACACACAAGATAAACAACTAAAAATAGACATGGATTAAAAGCAAAAGATTAATTATTTACAGAACGACTTGAAAGGATTTTGCTACAGATGTTAAATAATAATTATGGTTATATATGATTAATGATAAATGATAAAGTCAAAAATATAAGTAAAGCAGAATAATTATGCAGTATGTTAATGTATCTTAAAGCAAGAAATAGAATCCAGTTTGCCACAATACAAATACTGCTGACTATACTCTAGTGGTCATAACCGTTACAGTGACAAGCAGATATTTCGCCTTACATTTACGTGTATATTACATACTATCACCTTTTTTGATTTTAGCGTTATTCTCAACAAACAATGCACATAACAATCACGGATTATCAATAATTGCAAGGTTATTTGTATAATCCACTTGACATAGGAGCAACATGTTGATACATATATAATGCTGTTGAAGTGCTTTAAACTTATTATAATAATCATATAAATAACATTGTGGCGCCGTTATATGTCGCAACGCCGCTAAATGTCGCACTTGCCGCTAAATGTCGCACCATTGACGCTACATGTCGCAACCGCCGCTAAATGTCGCAAAATCATTTGCCGTTAAATGTCGCAATGTTAACGTTAAATGTCGCACGAATTTCCCTTCCCGTTAAATGTCGCAACACTACCGTTAAATGTCGCAAGATGTAAATTCATGTTAAAATCATGTTTAAAGTAGAATTATATTACTTTTTAACATTCTCATAGTTATTTTAATTGTAATTGCCATTACACAAAAATTATCTTTGTCTTACTTGGTTTCTTTAACGAACATAAATATCGAGGTTTTGAGCTACTATATAATGTAATCTTTAGGCTAGAAAGGATAATTGATACTAAATTCTCAATAGATAAGTATTTTTCTTTTGTTTAACATTTTCATTTGTAACCCTGATTGACAACAGATTAAAGGTATTATGGTATTGTCACTCTCAGAATTTGGTTTAAGTAATTTCATTTATTTTCTCAGAAACTACCGAATTTACTTTAAACGTGGTTTAGTTGTTCACTATGATCATATGATGCAATATCAAAAGGCAGATAATCCTAGTTATATTTTGCAAAGTTATTCCCCTTATTTCTCTAAGATGTTTTCGCTCTGATTAACCTTTTGGTTACGGCTAATTTCAAACATATTCACTTTAAACTTAAAATACTTATTTCATATGAAAGTACTAATGCATTTCTAAAGGACAGATGACCCTGAAAGGTATTTTTTCTAAAATATCTCCCTTTTTATATTTTCAAAAAAACATCACAAATATTCACTTCAAACGTGAAATATTGATTGAATATCAAGGCAATTTTTTTATTTTAACAGAAACGGCAAATACGTGAAAAACATAGTATGAAATGCACGGTCAATACGAAAATCGAAAAAAAATATCATGTAGTACTCCTTGATCATGTAGTATTCGATACGCAGTCGGGTGCTAGATATGAGCGAATTTTACGATTATATGCACCGGAATTTTTGTAAGCAGCCAGCCCGCATAGAGCGCGAGACTTGTAACCTCGACCTTGTTGGTTCTATTCCCGGGCTGGCCAACTAAAATTACTGATCAGTCTTTCGGATGATACTTTAAATCGAGGTCCCGTGTATGGGTGCTAAAACAACTTGGCACGTTAAAGAAGGGGAAGCTTCTGGAATCGGGGCATCTTTCTATATCTGTAATTGCACTATCCTCCAAAATCTAAAATGACTTGTACTCTTCTGGAGGACTCGCCCATATGGGCAACAGGTGGCGAGTATAAATAAACGCAAATTCACACACAGTAAGCAGATGTCAAAGTTAAATTAAGTACACAAGATTTAGTACATTTTACGATTTGTCAAACACTATTTATGCTTTGACATTGTGGCAAGTGATATTTTACTCGCCAAGCCGCTTTATACTATGAAAGATTCTCAGTAACTATCATAAAATAAGAATACAAATAATTGGTTAAGCTCATATTGGCCTTGCTGTTTGGCTGAATACAGCTAGCCGTTTTGGCCAGAGAATTTAGGCTTTTTATATTTGCTATTATAATAATGAAAATCTTAATCTGTATAACGCTTCATTATAAATATTTCAATGAAATTAAATCTGACATTTTTCGAAAAACACATAGAGGATATTTGTTTGTTTGTGTGTAAGATGAAATTTTATATCATCGAGTGGGCTTTAAAAACAGTATTTTCACGAGTGGCGTAGCCACGAGTGAGAATACTGTTTTTAAAGTTCACGAGATGAAACAAAATTACATCTTACACAACAAACAGACACATTTTCTTTTTATTTTATGCTTTAAAACAAGTTAAAACGAAATTTCCATAATTTTAACGTTAATATTAAAATCTGTTTCCCCCATTGAGAGCCCCATTTAGAGGGAATTTCTCATTAAAAACAAGAAGTCTTGAGCTGAAAAATAAGTCCGCCAATCAAGGTTAAATGACGGTGATATTTATTCATTTTATTAAAAAAATATGAATGATCGCTTGTTTTAATAATAAAAACAAACAATTCTTGTAGGAGAAAAAGTCCAACCATCCATCCATATTTCTGTTACTTACTGCGAATTTATATTAGACCTGCCTTTGTAAAATGTAAGCGGCAGCCATTTTTTAAAGTTGTGTATTTCATGGGAGGAAAATAATTGTGTAAGATTCAGAAGGATATAATTTGGATTTGTTAGTCATACACCTTTTTAAAAGAAAGAAGACTTATTTGAGGATTGTAACAGACAAAAAATAAGTGTTGACAGAAGTGAAAACATTCAGAAAAGGAGCTAGGAAAATGGAAAACTTGGAAGCTTGCTAAGCCTAAGGCATTGTAAGGAACGCTGGGTTGTTTTACTTATTTTACGAGTGATGGCTGTCAATGCTTTTCAATTTTTCATAAAGCATACGGCAGTTATTGCTCGTAGGATACTTTAATATGCCCAAATGTCATCAAGAGCAGTTTTAGCATGGGGAAGGAATGTATTTTTCAGACTGTAAAAACGAAACAAAAAAATTTAGAGACGAAATTTTGTGATTGGAATTTGAAGGAATATAAGTAAGTTTTCTCTCTTTATTACTTTTGACATTTAAGTTATTTATCTATTTCAGATTTGCTATTTTTTTTTAACAGCCTGATATTGTCAGAATTGTCAGTAAAAATAAAATTGAGGTACCACATGGGAAAAATCTTAAAAAAGTAGTTTCGTCATTGAAAAAAGTGAAATTATATTTTGATAATTTTCACTGTGAAATTATCAAATATAATTTTCACGGATAAATCAGTAATCCACTGAAAAGCATAAAATAAAAGACATGAATTATACTCGTACATATGTAACGACGATATTTGTTAGACATCTGTAACCACTTTTATGTTCGTCCTAAAATGCGCATGTCGAGTACGCCATAGTGAAGTTCAAATGACCATAAATACAAACATACGCACAATAGTGTATCTATTTTAAGATAATTTTAAGAACTTTATTTTTCAAAACAAAAAAATGGAACAGATGTGTAAAGAAAACATCTTTTTAATTTATTGCAACAATAATATGAATGACCACTGCCTTTCTGGCGTTAAAATGAAAATAAAAACACGCATACGACTAGCAAATTTGATAAAAGCATAAACTGTTTGTGTGAACTTCATCCTGCAAATTAAAATCTATTTTAGCATTTGTGACAATGACCCATTGATCCCTTACTCAATATAAAGGAAGAATACCATGCAAGTTATCTACCTTCCAAATATGAAATACATCAGTCAATAAATAAAGGCTGTAAAAAGGTAGAAATCTATTTTAGAACTGGTGACCTTGACAGAACTGAACCATAACTCCATCCAAAGAAGAAGACTTCAATTTTATGTTCCTACAAATATAAAAGTCATCTCTCAAAAGAATAATGTTAAAACACCTGTAAAAATGTTAAAATCTATTTTTGGCATTTGGTGACTTTGGCCTTTACCCACAGGACCCCAACTAAACCCAATGGAAGAGGACCTCCCTTGGCACGTTTGTATTAAACATGAAATACATAATCTTAACAATAAAGGCTTAATGTAAAAAAATCACACCAGTGACCTTGACACTACAGACCCCTTACTCCATAACAAATACACGGCCATTAATGGTATCCACCTACCAGATATGGAAGATATCATTAAATAAATTTTTAAGATAAATCCAACTTACCGGAATAGGTTAACCATACAAGGTCCTATTTTCAAAGTGAAAAAAGGAATATAACTTGGGAAAATGGATGGCAATATCATGAACTTTTTCTAAATAAGTAAGTGTGGAAATTATGAAGCAATAAGTATAGACAGTACTTAAATAAATCCAACTTGCTGGTTCAGGTTAATGATATTCATTCTCAAACTGCTGAAAATGGCAATAACTTGATTAAAATTTATGCAATAATTATGTTACTTGCCATGATCAAGTTTATTGTATTGATAAATAAATGTGTAAATTATGAAGCCCTTTGTACTAGTAGATTTTAGGAAAAACCCAACTTGCCGTTTTATTATTTTGATCGTTCCATTTTTTATAACATGACACCAACTTTAGGCTGCCAGGCTCCTAGACTGCCAGCTTTAGGCTATTAGACTACATAGTTAAGTGCCCTAAAGGTAAAGGCGTTTTGTTTCCCATAATCATACATGTGTATGTGCTTTTGCATGACCTTTCATAGTGATTTAACTGTATTTTAAATTGTTTCCATATTTATAATATAAGTCACTAACTTTAAGCTTAGCTACTAGGCTGCCGACTCTAAGCTGTTAGATTGCCAACTTCAGGTTGCAAAGCTGACATCGATAGGCTGTTAGGATGTTAGGCGGCCACCTCAGGATACTAGGCTACCAACGTTAGGCTTACAGGGCGTTAGGCAAACTCTTAAGGTCCAGGTCGTCAGCAATTTAGGCTTCCTCTTCCGACAGCGAGACAATTTGCCTCCTCAGTCAACTAGGCCATCAGACTGCCACCTCAGGCAGCCTGTCTTTTCTGCCATTTTACAGACACAATTGTACTAAACTATTTACAGAACAATGCCAATTTTGCAGTTTCATACAAATAGTAGACAATTGTATAATTATCAATATGTACTTGCATAAGATCAGCTAAAAATCAAACGCAAAACAATATACATTTATTTACAAGATGAGTATTATCGCCGGATAAATTGCAGCGCAGTTCCATTTATAATAAATTCACTCGCTTTCAAATTGAGTAGGCAGATTTAATTAATATGACACAACAATAAAACTTGAGTTCAACATAAATTTACATCTTGCGACATTTAACGGTAGTGTTGCGACATTTAACGGGAAGGGAAATTCGTGCGACATTTAACGTTAACATTGCGACATTTAACGTCAAATGGTTTTGCGACATTTAGCGGCGGTTGCGACATTTCGCGTCAATGGTAAGACATTTAGCGGCAAGTGCGACATTTAGCGGCGTTGCGACATATAACGGCGCCACAGACATCATAAACGACTTTATTGTCAAACACATTTGTACACAGTTAACATTGTCCCTCACAATACAATGTACACTTATATTCCTTTAATATTTATAAAAAAACGGACATTTTTAATTGACCTATACGGTGAAATATTATTGAAGGAGAAAAAAAATAAATCTGATATATATTTCTTAAAGAATGTTGACCACATTTCCTTGAATTAACATAGTTAACAGATATAACATGGCTAAGAATGCCCTCTAGGTCCAAATGTTGTACTTACACGAATGCGATCAACATATTTTACATAATTACACTACCGTATTGTTGTACATGCTAATTCGCATTTGACAAAGCAGTATGGTACTTGTTAGACAAAAAAACATCATTCACCAATTGCCGCAAATATTTCACCCATTTTAACACGTTAATTTCATTTTCAAATACGAAATTGCAGTTAAAGTTCGCTTAAAAACAGAAGTTAATTTTATAACCATTTGTCGTAAATGTTCATGATGTAATTGCTGCTGCCCTATTCAAAACAAGACAAAATTGTTGACTCAATCAACACCGTGTGTTTTCAGCCTTTGAGGTAATATCCATCAACAATTACTTATTTCATATTTTCTGCTTCCATTCTTTTTCTTATATCATTAGCATGCCACATTGATAAGAACAGTTTAACAAGCACATCAGTTTTGGAATCAATTACTCTATTTACTTGTTCTATTTACTAATTCTAAATCGATTTATTACTGATCACGCTTATATCCATTTATATTTTATAAGGCATACTAAACATGTTAACACAATACGTGTTAAGACCAGAAATGTACACACATATATTTCTCCGAATTTTTAACGCATTTATGCATACAAGTTTACAGCAAATTTAAAACTTAATTCCTCATTCATGAAAACATCTCGACATTTTGTATACAATATTTTTTGTTTCATTCCACTTTACACACAGATGGAACATATTTATCTGATTAAACTCTGGTTAATTAATGTAATTAATGCAACGGTTACAATACGTATGGTATCACAATATATCCACACTGAAACAGCAGCATCGTACTGGGGGTCATAGTTGTAGCCAAACTTCTCTGTAAATATATAATTATAAAGAAATTATTATTTCAACATAATTATAGAAGGACATCTTGAAGCTTATCTCAAGCTTACCCCTCCAGAACCGTTTTGCATTTAGATATGAAAATGGTTTGTCATTCGACATTTATTAACATGTTGATGTGTTCAAATACTGGACTTCACTTTAAATCTAATGAATATTTAAATACTACTGATGGATCTTCGTGGTCAAAAAAGGTTAAAGTTGTAGACCTGCACCTCACCGCTTTGAGTCCGTTTGACTCCCACCAGATAGTATAAATTTTGTCATGTGCGTAATCTATTTTCAGTTCTTTTTATATATTACACAAAGGACATCTTGTAAATTTCTCTACCGTGAAACTGAAAAATCGCTTCATCACTTAAAAACCGCAACAAAGAAAAAGAGTAAGATCTGCTTTTTCCAATTAAGAATAGGAAAAATCTTTATTGAACTTATTGTACATTCAACCTCAAATTCAAATGAATTGTTAAATAGTATTTGATAATCAAAACTTAACAAACATTACGTGTCAATGACAAATTCCTCTTGTTGCATTTCAAAGTTTCAATTCTTACAATAGATCATTCAAAATAAATATTACAGTTTACAGACTACATGTACATGAATAGGCTATAAATTGAGAAAATATTTTTTTTATACTTAAAATCGGATTCAAAATCGTTAAGCTGTAATTTGATTTAAAGTAAATGCATACTTAAATAGTAAACTCACCTTTGTTACTCTGGGGATAATATGGTGCAATTACGCTTTTGTAATCATAGTTGCCATCTGTTGTACCTGGTAATGGTCGCCACTCTGGCGTTGTAACTCTTGGTCGTGGTTTTATAATTTTATATTCTGAAATATATCATAAAATAGTAATTGAATACAACCATTTACCGTGATCTGCATAACACTTACTTGAATTACATATAAAGGTTACTGCTCAAACCTAATTTAATGGAAATTAATAAAATGAGAAGAACTAAAAATGAATTATTTCATCTGCACACGTCAATATTAATTATTTGTTTTACAAAACAGGGAAAATGAAATAAAAAGGCAATAGATAAAACATTGAAAAGTGGACCATTGTTACTTTATGTCTGAGGTTTTCTTTATAAGCATCAGTTTATATAGCAAAACTAAAGCTTGCTTGAATAGATAATGTTTCTAGCTGTATCAATTCACCTTCTATTTAAAATAATTATTTCTGTCTACTCTGGAATAGATTCTATGTTTTGCATGTGAACTCTATTGTTTTTTCTTTCATTGTTGTCTATATAACAAAATAAATGACTATTTACCATACAAAAGCATAGTCTCCCTGTCCCTTCCTAGGGTATTTGACGCCTCACAAGAATAATAACCAAAGTCTTCTTTATCAAGGTCTATTATATTTAGATGTAAAGTCTTTTCATGATGGCCTTCATCATATAATTCAGTCCAGTATTTGTATGTTTGAGGCAGCGCTGATCCATTTTTGGTCCAGATGATGGATTCCTGAGGCGAAGCTGATACTTTACATTGTAGAATGGTTTCTTTCCCAACAGACTGACCAATACGTTTTGTTGGAAGGGTTACCTCGGGTGGATCTGAATAAAGTAATCAAATTCAAGTATTGTGTAATGAATATGCATTTTTGTGGTTCTCGACAAATTCATAAATTTATTAATGAATTAATAAATATACATAAATACATATTGTTGAATGATGATATATGCCCATTTTCCTTAATTACTTTGAAACAAAGCTTAATTATAACTGATTAAAGATAATCAAATTGAATACAAATTCCCACAATAATGGTCTATAGATAATAAATCAAAGAGACATCACACCTAAATATAATTTTAATTTTTTAATATTGAAATACGAAATTGAAGATTGAATTTTGCATCTCACTCATACGAGAAGTGTTTTTTTTATCTTGATTATTGGAATTTATCAATAAATGTACATTATGATAAACATACATAAAACTGTGACTTCAAATTGTCGTTTTGCAATTGGTAGAACTCCATTTTCAGCATAGCATTCGTAAGTCCCGTCACAATATCTGCTTATGTTGTGTAAAAGCAATACTTCGCCAATCAAAGTGCTTTCCTCGCCTTCAAATAAGATGAATATTTAATATTTTGCTTAAACATTTAATATCAAATCAACCTTTCGAGGAGGAAGCTAAAACAAACATTACTGAAGACAAGACAGAATATCATATAATTTGTAAGCATTTAATTCGTTCTTACTGTATGTTTAATAAATATATTCCTTTGAAAATTGTGTATAGATAAGTAGAATTATCTTACCACCACTATTCTGATCAGCACCTTTTAACAGATTACTCTGCTTATACCACGTGACAACTGGGGGTGGAACACCAGTAGCGTTACACATCAGGTCAACTGTTGTACCCTCTGTCACTTCTAATTTAGTGCTCGTCCAGTACTCTAAAATTTCTGGTGGCACTGAAAATACATAACAAGATATCTCCTGTGTGTATACTATATTCTTAACATATATATAACGATCAAACTTGAAGTTATGTACATTTATTAAGTGCAAGTAGACTTCAAATTTTAATCAATTTCAGCTGATTTTAAACTTGTTACGTTTCAAACATGATTATTTACCATTTCGATCACTGTTGACTTCATTTAATCATGTTTGTTTTGTTTTTTGGGTTTTACGTCACATCGACACAGTATAGGTCATATCGCGACGTTCCAACTTTACTAGTGGAGGAAGACCTCAGGTGCCCTTCCGTGCATTATTTCAGGCACGAACAGGCACCTGAGTAAACCACCGACGTTCCGTAAGCTAGCTGGATAGCTTCCTCACATGAAAGAATCCAAAGTCCCTGTCGGGATTCGAACCCACAGCGGTGAGGGGCAAGTGGTTTGAACCACTCGGCCATGGACGCCCCTCATTCAATCATGAAATGATGTTTAAGGTCATACTTAAATCATGAAGATATTTATTATCATCTATCCATCATTGCCTAAATGAAAAATAACATTTCTTATTTTTAGCAGAAGATGATTATATTGACTTTTTCAGTTATTTATTATGTTTGTGTTTTATCATTAAGGTAGACCATGGGTAATGCATTACCTCCGCTTTGAAGAGTATTCAAATAGGCTAGAATCACTTGTCAACTACATTGAAATTGAGGGGCGTGGGTTCAAATCCCAGAAGGGGCAACTTTTCTTTATTTATTTCTTTTTCACATTATTTATGTATCTCTCAGATCCCTTATAGAAGAAAAAAGTGTTTGATTTTAATTATATAATTATTGTAGGTATTAATTTGCTAAATAATGCCAAATTTAATAGCAAATATGTTACCAGATATTTTCAAAGTTTAATAGAATAAAAATTACAGGGTAAAATTATTATATATTTCGCATGATCAACCAATATATTTTAAGAAAATTTAGGCAAACTTTGAAAACAGCCCCTCATTGTGGTAAATTTTAGGGATATTTTGAATAAGGCTTTTTATATAGGGAAATGGTCAAATAAGTGTTTAAAGTGGGTGGGGTAGGGTAACATTTTTATACATATGAAAAACATTTTGTTTAGAAACAATCATTTTGCTCGTGTAATTTGTTACCTGAATGTTATTATTTGTTTCTTAACAATGAGCAATAGGAAAACATTTTTCATAATGATGATATTATAGATTATTTAGAGTTTCCTCATTTCTGAAAAAAGCCCTTCTATAATATCAAAGTTTTAGTTCAGAAATATATATATAACTTATAAACATAAACCACACGGTAAATTTCATTCAAATTTTGCATACAGGTGACCTTCATATGTTGTCACTTTTACAGTTCCTTATAGTGCCCATTACCCATGGTCTACCTTACATTGCGGTTACTAAGAATTTCCTGTTTCACTAAAATTATACACGCAAAGTGTTGGGAAACGTCAAAAGAAAAAGTGTCTTATTCATTCAGATTATTATACAGACAGGTTTCATAAAGGTTACACATATTGACTTAACGGGTAGTTTATATTTTTATTAAAAACTGAAAATTAGCGGCGACCCAATGCTATTGTAAACAAATTTCACGTGTCCATTCTTAAATAAAGATGACTGACTTTCTTCACAATGTGAAATGTGAGAATAACTCTCGTTTTTGTTTTCTTTCTTTTTAAAGAAAAAAAAAGAAAAAAATATATCATATCAAAAATAAAATGGTCACGTTAATTTGAATTTCTTATAATCTTACCTTTCACAAAAAGATTGATTCTTTTGATTTCAACAATTGGTTTTGTGTTTATCTGACACATATACACTCCACTGTCATTGTATCGAACTTCCCTTATCATTAGATTCCAGTCTTTAATCTTAGGGCGCTCAACACTTATTCTCGAGTCATCAATAAATCGACTGTCCTCTTGACTGATCAATGTTTTTCTCGGATTAAGCCATATCAACTGTTGATCATTTATAAAATATAACTATATCGGAATGGAATATATCTAAATGTCAATAATAACAAAACAAAAGATTAAATCTGCTCAAATGTTTCTTTTAATTTTGTTTCTTAATATTAGCAATGGATTCAGCGCTCTACTTGATGTTGTTTCATCAGAGATAATAAAGAACATTTAATAACGTAATAAAGTACTAATCTTTGGTTTGGTGTAAGTAATAGAAAGAAAATTGAAACACGAGGCTATCTTATATTTACGAGGGGGCGTAGCCCCCCCCCCCCGAGTATAAATCAGATTGCCGAGTGTTTTGATGTTCTTTCTCTTTTGTATCATAGTCAAACATAAAAACACGTTCCCTGTTGTCACAATATGAATTCCCAGAAAAAAGTAACCAATGAACGAGCATCGGAATATAATATTTCTATCGCTTTTCCTTTCTCTTCCGTCACAATAAGTAAACCCCAGCAAAAATGAGCCAATGGGCATGCTCTGGAGTGCGGGTAACTAATACCTGCACTCCAGTTAACGCACTGTGCATGTATATGTATAAAAGGATTCAGGAAGGTCCCTAAACAATGATACAATGATTAATATCGGTACATTGTACTTACATTATGTTCACCTTTGCGTTCAACAGCACATGGCAAGTATACAGTTTCCCCGGCAACTGTCGTCACATTAATTGTTGACTTATCAAATATTGGCATTAGTGGCTCTTCTTCCACAATAGCACCTGCTGAAATTGACAAGGACAGCGTTCAAAATCTAATATAAAACAGGCAAGGTAAAAGCTAGCTGTTCACATATAGAGCAAAACTTGCTCATTGTCTGTTATAAAACGTAATTTTATTCGTTACTGAACGTTTATGTTATTCGTTCACATTACAAGTTATTGAAGTAAAACATATAATGCTGATATTTTTAAAAAAAGTTTTTATCTCTTTTATAGAACTGACTCATATTTTAGGGCATATATTAGACAGCATGGCAAAAATACGCAAATATGTTTGTAAAAATATCAAAAATAGAACAATATCTACAGTCATTGAACGATATATCATGGCTTTATTGCCTTTACTCGATTTACGAAAAATGGTCGCATTTTTTGCCAAATTTTCTTTAAGATAGTCAGTGTATGTTATTTCACCAAAATTGGTTGCATGATGTAACAGATGATGAGAAATATTTGCAAAATGGCGTGTTAAAATCAAAGTACTTCATACCACTTCATATCGCTTTTAAGGTTTTAAACATGTAAAGGGTAAATGTAAGTTTGTTTTGCTGTAGAATGCCACAAATGTGTTCAAATAAACTTCTAGATTCTCGAATGGAAATATATCACAACATTTCAAAAGAGAGCAACAAAGATTACAGCGGGTAAACTTGATTGTATTTTTAAAGTTCGGTTATAGAATTTCTATAAAATTTCAATATTTGATTCATGTGTTGCATATTCAAGTTTTTTTTTGTTTTGTCAATTCAGTCAAATGATACATTGCATTCATATTTTATCTTTGTTTTTCATACATATTTTAGCCAATAAAAACAGCCTTCAAATCTGATAACAGCCCATAGGTGAGTATAAAACTAGCACAGTGGTTTGGTCACATTTCGGCCCATTTTTGGAATCGGCCCATTCGTTTTCGGCCGGGAAAGTCTGGTTTCGGTTGACCCTTTTCGGCCCATTTTTTATATTATATGCATTTTACATAATTATTGTTTTTTATTATTATATACTATTATATCAGTGTCTATTTGGAAAGGACTGTTGATTGGTAATCAGTTATTATTCCATGAATATGCACCACTCAACCCCACCCCCTGAGAATATAGAATTATGAAACTTAGGTCAATTCTTTAGCACATCCAGATAATGTGCAGAACTTATATGCCAGGTGTGCCGGCTCAAGGTCAGGATCACACCTTCAGGTCAAAGGATAAAGACTTGGGTTTCATGTCCGCTCCTTATCTCCGAAACCCCATGAAGGATTTTAAGGCACCTTGTGACAAATGTTAACATCGAGACCATATGCAGAACCTTTCTTTGGGTTACCGCGGACTATATATTTATCTATATACTAAAAAGTGTTGTTATTTTTTATACCTCCAAAAATTAAAATGTTGGTATTTGCAAATGGCATTTGCAAATGAGGTACTGTAATTTACAGATGGCGAAGTGTTTAAAAAATGGTGTTTTACAAATGGTGTAATTATCCAAATCTCTACTTTGCAAATGGCGTCATGTGAAAATATGTACGAAAAAAACAAAATAAAATATGTACAAAAAAACTTAAATAAAATATGTATGCAAACTAATGCAAAACTGAAATAAAATATGTATGCAAACTAAAAAAGAATATGTATGCAAAACTAAATAAAAAGTTATTATCCAAAACTAAAAAAAGTACGTACGACAAACAAACAAAAAATATGCACGAAAAACAAAAAAAAAGTATAAAAAATTCAAATGTCACTTTTATGCCACCGTTCAAAATACTCTAGTACAGAAATTGTGCATTCCTAGAATTAAAAGATGCTGCGAAAAAATATCCCGTTCTGTCGGTCATTTACTTGATAACTTTTGGTGCCATATTGAGCCCCATTTTAAATATGTTGGGAATGAAATAAAATGCAGTATATATTTTTTCCAAAGAACTATAAATATACACTATTGCAATGTTCTGGTGAAACATCAAGTTTTTCGATCGGACTATAAAAGTGATTTTTACAAAAACATTATTAAGCTTATCAACAAACTTAAGGGTTTTTGTAAGCTCCGTAACAACCGTTCTCCAGAAGCTTTTTTATGGTAAATCTTACATACTTCTTTAGAAAGAGCAAACATGAATTTTATAATGTTAAAATAATGGTATCTGAGAAATGTACGATGCTTGTTACCTGAATAAAGTAGCGATAAATGTGAAATTATTTGTCATATTAAAAGAAGTCAAAACACTGTAGTATTTGACTTCCCTATAAAATAATAATTCACTATAACTGTACTCATCATTGCCAAAAAGGAAAAGATGGTTCAGGTAATTGGCCAATGTGTATTTTTTGGATAATATAGAAGAACATCAAAATGAAAAAGCTTTTAAGAAAAACAAATAAAAGCATAATGGGCCTTTAAAACGTTAATTATTAACCCTCGGGGGGATCGATACCCCACAATTCCCTCTATAGTCCCCCAGTGAGAATTTGACATTATTCTGAAGCTCCGCTCTTAATGGGCGACTACTTAAATAGTTGATATCTTTAGTACTGCCTGTACTGACTACTACTTAAAGCCGCATTTACACCTAGTCAAGTTTCTTATATGTCACATTTAGCTAAATAAATGGCTCTTTCAACATAGTATCAGGCACATGTTTTACTGAAATGTCTTACTAAGATTTCCCAGAATTTATACCTTTGTCTATGCCTAAGACTATTATATTTCTATAAAATGTGTAAATAAAAAACGGGAAAATAATGCATTTAGCTAAAAGCAATGGAGTTAATTAAAGGTGTACATTCTTTTAAAATAAATGGAAAATTTGAGAAAAAAATATTTTAAGCTTAATAATTGATTCAAATTCTTTATTTGGTGATTTATTTGGTGAAAGTTCTTCACTTACTAATCAAGATCATTTAAATCCCTATTGATTCTACTATAATTCAGGGCACATGTTTGTGTCTATTTAATACCTTGATTTTTTGTTTACCATTAACTTTGACTACAATATATTATTTAAAACATAATGAACATTAATTTTCTATGACCCCAAAGTGCGGTCGTTTGCCTGATGTTAAAAATGCATATGTACCTGTTTAACGCACTTTGGGGTTAAAATTGGACCCCAAAGTGTGTAACGCACTCTGGGGTCGGACCCCAAAGTACGTAACGCACTTTGGGGTCGGACCCCAAAGTGCGTTTGACCCCAAAGTGCGGTGTTACAGTGCACTTCTAGTGCACTAGACCATATGACCAGGCTGGCCAGGGAAGGTGACACCTAAATGGTTTATTGGATAATTGCATATCAAGTGACAGGGGGCATCCATTGTTAATCTGCTGTAAGAAAAAAAAATTGGGGAATATATGGCCTATTCATGAATATAAATAAGTAAATTTTAAAATCAGCAGTTTTAACATTTTAGGTGATATTATATTAAAGCTTAATTTTTTTTTTTTTATTGTAATTATATTTTTATTAATTAATCAGTATTTAACTGCAAGTGTAAAATAATACCCCTTAAAATCAAATTTATAGAATTTAAATATGCTCCGTAATGGATAATTAAATAAGTGTTTTTAAAGTTTTTTTTTAATGGTCATGTATTTCAATTTTTCTAGACGTGTACAAATGGGAAAATCAATGTGATAATTCTGGCCCAATTAATTTAGTTTGTAACAACATAAACTTTTTTTTCATAAGCTCAAACAAATCAAGGAAAGGTTTATATTTAAGCTAAAATAGTATTTCTATAATATATAACTTAGAGACAATTCCTCATGTTCAATATTGAAACAGAATTTAATACATTGATTTTAAAACAATCAATATAATTTAGTATTCAACTGTGTAATGTTTGCATATGTTTTAAAGATATAAATAATTAAAATATTATCCATAATATAAATAAATTGGATAACTTTATTCATGATTTCAATATTAAAAATTTAATGTAAGACTTGAAACATATAAGAATGTCATTACCTATGGCAGATGCTTGAAGTTTTTGAAGAAGGGAAAAAGAAGAAATTCTTCATTGCAGTATGTGTTTTTTTAAAATTTTTTAGATCTAAAAAATATCATGCAAGAATCTGCCTTTGGTTTCCCTTTTAAATTTTAAAAAAAAAATGTTAAATGAATCAAAATGTGTCAGTTTAAAACCCCCCTTTTAAAACCCTGACTGAAACTGCCCCCCCTCCATGACTCGAAAAACCCCTACTTTTCAGAAAAACCAACTGAGCTAAACCCGGGCCCGGGTAAAACATTTTTTTCTTTAAAATTTAAAAATGAAAAGTTTTTAAAACCCCAACATAAAATTTCCCCCTATATTTAAATTTTTGGGGTTCCCTTTGAATTTTTGATGTTTTCCCGGGGCATATGAAATTTAAAAAAACAGGTTATAAACCCCTGCGGTATACCGACCCCGGGTATTGCTCGATAATTTTGAGGACTTTCATCCCATTTCGCGACTTTAAACGGCGAACGAAGGTAAGTTCATCGACGATATTTTCTAAACGAATGGCTATTTCATTTATCTCAACGGTTTTTATATATCTAGAGGTATTTTTGTAGCTCTAAAAGACGTAAAAGTATGACAGGTATTTGTAAAATTGATTAAACTACCCCTAAACGATTCGCTCCTCACTAGAAAATACTGACCGTGATACTGTAGAATCGTTAGAAATTATTATATTACCAATATAAAAAAAATTGAATCGAGCAATTTTTTTATTCACAATCCAAGTATGCGTTGTCCAAATTTCAGGAAAAAAGTGTGAAAGTACAAAAAGATACAGGCCTAAAAAGATACAAGAAAGTGTACCGAGTATTGATTTTAAGTGTACAGAGTATTGCAAAATAGCCCAACTTTAGTGTACAGTGTATTGCAAAACAGAATGAGCATATTAAAATGGAAAATCGATATTTTTGTCTAATTTTCACGTCTGTTTATCGATTCCATTTCACTTTGCTGATAATGTGCTGATTATATGATATTTATTCAAATATTTCTGATTCAACAATGGATTTTCAGTGTTATTACTGTTTTTTCCTATGCGCAAATACAGACATTTAATTTCCCATTTGATTGAAAATCACGTTATAGATGAAAAAAGTGTGTGCAGGGTCGGAAGCAGGCTCGGGAGCAGGGTAGAACCATCGAATGAATTTGACGATAAAAACCTTTAAATACAAGTCTCAAAAAAACTGTGATCAAGGAGACCCATCTCTGAAAAGAAAAAGGATAAC